GGATTTTCGGGCGGGAGACGAGGAGAGACGCAAGGTAAGTCTATGGACGCGTGCACCCGCATGCAGACACCGTGGGACAGGAAGTGCCAGCAAGGACAGAGGAGTCAGCGCTGGATCGGACACCCGCCGCACCGCTGGAGGTACAGATGAAAACATCAGGAAAGAAGATCGGATTAAGAGACATCAGTGAAGGTAAGTGCTAACATTAACATTGGGTGGAGGGATAAAAAAAATTGACTTTAATGTCACTTTAACCACTTCTAGGCCGCAGTACGTCTATAGAGCGCGGCCTGCAGAAGTGGTTAAAACAAGAACACGGCTGCCCGTGCTCTTGGTACCGCTTTTAACAGCAGGCGATTGCTGTATGACTTACAAGCAATCGCCTGCTGAGGACTACAAATCTCAGCAGTACTTTATACAGAAATGCTATTGTTATATAAAGTATTGCTGCGATGTGTAAGCATGACTCCCAGAGGCGTGAAGAGATTTGTAGTTTCAGCACAGCTGGAGTGCCGAGGTTGCCTACCTGGGAGAAAGAGACCTGTTAAATAATTACATATATTTTATATGACAAAATGAGATTGTAAAGAACACGATGGTGTCACACGATGCTCATGTGTTTTTTGTTTGTTCTGTATAAGGGCTCAATCACACAAACATTCAGAACAGTACAGTGTGTACATCCGTGCAGTAAGTTGCGGCCGGGAGGGACAGCTGTTGTGTCAGCACAATTCAATCTCAGGTTCCGGCTGCAGACTGTTGAACACCAACTCAAACTTGTAGATCCGTACAGGTAACAGATGCACATCCCTGGATGCAGACTAATCTGTTGTCGGTGGGTATACTCCAGCACTACATAAACCCGCGTATGTGCACGAATGTGAAATTTTGGAGGCAGGCTGGGTGCATCAGATAATTAAATACCGTTCGTCTGACTTTAATGTGAGGCTTTATGCTGCAGCTGGAGGTCTTTGCCGGCAGGAATATGCTGGCATTTGTGGTGTGTACAGGGGCACCAGATACACCCTTCTATCCCTTACAGTCAAGGAAGGTGCCATCTTATCCTCAATTTGGATTGAAATTGCCATTTGGGGCTGCACGTGTGATTAGCTATAACACCAGCCATTTGGGGGCCTAAAAGTTCAACAGCTGGCATACCATCAAAGTAACTTTTTGGGAGACATTAAATTGGTGGGTCTAGTTCCACTTTAAATCTAGGTGGTTGCCCTGTCTTAGCCCCCTTCACCCTGCAGGATGTACAAATCTCCCTTGATTTCTCTCATTCATCAGAGACCTGAACCAACCCTCTTTCCAGCATAGTTGCCGGATGTCCTGTATTTTGCAACACTGTCCTGATATGTTTATATGTATAAAATGTAGTAAAAGTAGGGCTGCAATTAACGATTATTTTCTCTTCAATATGTTTTATTAGTTTTTGTGTATTTTCATTTGTGTACAATCATTTTTTTTGATTAATTGATTATTTGAATTAAAGAAAAAAATTAATACCATCTTTTATTTAAAATTAAATTTAAAATATTTAAAAAAATTTAAAAGCATGCACAATTTTTTGCAATCGCACCGCAGGGCATTGTGGTACCGTGCGTTCTAATGCAGGCGATCGCACTGTGGGCATTGATGCCATTGAAATGAATGACAACACAAAACACATCCCGCAGCAGAATCTGTCAGGCGGATGGACTTGTGTCTTTTTTCAACCTGACTAACTATGTAACTATGTAATAATTAAGACACTTGAATGTAGTTTTAAGATTTAACTCCTGCGTTTAGTGTCACTTTAAGCAATTCAGCTACAGGTAGTTTTGAATTAGTGTGTGCCTCCTTCATATCACAGGTCTAAGGCCTTTAATGATATGTGAATAAGGAGGGTAAATAAGGTAGTTATAGAATCACAGAGACCTCTCCGTGATGAAGGACTTAAACTTGCTAGAAATAAGTTTGTGACAATCCCTTTTTTTGCATATATCTACTGCGAGCAGTACCCATTCAAGTTAATGATCAGGTGACAGCAGTTGCATGTAAACGCCTGCACACCGCATGTAATGATACGTGATATAATTACATTCGGTTAGGAATCAATCACTCTCCCTGGATGCAATGATTGTGCATCCAGGGAGAGTGTTTTCTAACCGCATGTAATCATATCATGTATCATTACATGCGGTGTGCAGGCGTTTACATGGAGCTCCTATCACCTGATCATTAACTTGAATAGGTGACAGCTGCCACTTGTAAACACCAGATTAGTGATTTCTGCTGCAGTAAAACGCACGTTTCTGATGCAGGAATCCCTAATCACACCTAAACCTACAGATATGAATAGGGCCTTATTGTGTGTATATTGCTGTCTGTAGTACCAAACTGGATATAGTTATATTTTATTTTATAGTATAAAATTTGGCAAGCGGCCCCCATGAGAGAAGAACATTTGTTGAGTGGCCCCAGGGACGGAAGAGGCGGGGGGCGAAGATGGAGGAGGCAGGGGGCAGAGACACCAACGGGGAGGCGGGAGGCGTCGCTGGAGCTCCAGTCGGGCGCCGAGGACAAGGAGGCCGTGTTCCAAAGAGGTCAGGCCATGTAAGGTAAGAGGACCGTGCTGTCAGAACCCATCATAGATTCTGCACAGCCCACCAAAGAGTCTCAGGTGTGCTGTGCAATACCCTTTGGTTGGCTCTGCAGGATCTGTAGGGGGCTTTGTCGGGTCTCAGGAGGGCTTTAATTTGGCCGGGGGGGGGGGGGGGCGCTGAGTTTTGCCTAGGGCAGCCCCACACCAGAATACACCACTGATTCTTGTCACTAGGTGGAGATAAGGAACACAGGAATTTCTTTGCTCCTTGGCTCCATCTAGTGGTTGGAATGCAGTATACACAGTATTCACGCGTCCATATGCTGGGTGGAGTGTTTATACATCAGCACCTTAAACTTTATGTCAACCCAAAATTCTTTGAGTTAGTGGTTTTGTAGGGAGGGACTAGAACACCTGTCAGGTTTTTACTGCTATTCCATGCTCCCATAGGAATATTTACTAGGGATGCACCGATATATCGGCCGCCGAAACATATCGGCTGAAAATGGCACTTTTGGCTGAATGCTGAAAGTGCCATTTTCCTGCCGATACATCGGCGCATCCCTACTTACTTTCCTTCCATCGGGGAAGAGAGAAAGTGACAGCTGGCCGAGCGCTGCGGGAGGAGAGCGCTGTGAGCGGCCGCTGTCTCTCCTCCCACACCGCTCAGCCGCCTATCACAGTCAGGCAGAGTGGTGTGGGGGCGGAGACAGCCCGCGCTGTCACAGGAGGCTGAGCTCTCATCTCGCACCGCTCACAGCCTCCTGTGACAGTGTGTGTCAGGATGGAGAGCGGGTACAAGCAGTCAGTGATCAGTGATTGCTGAGTGTTTGTAAATAATTGAGGATATGGTATGTGTACTATATCCTCAGTTATGAATGAATGGGAAGTGAGCTAAATCACCTTCTGTTCATACATAGTTGTAGTTATAGTAAACACACAATGTTCTCAAGTTAGCAATGAACAAGAACACTCAGAGGATTCCTGTTCATTGATAACAGGGGATACAGAAAAAGAGATTGAGGACTCTGTGGGAAATATCAGGGGTCCCGATATTTCCCTGAAGCCCCTAAAAGTAAAGTAAAAAATAAAAAAATAATTAACCTCGCTGGCGGTCTGATTATCTCCGTTTTTTTCTATTTTATTTTTGTTTTTTGTTTGTTTTTATACTATTAAATCTTTTGCCGGTTCTGCTCCCCTGTGACTCTGGCGCTCGCAAGGGTCGGAACCCGGAAAACGGATGACGGCATCAGCCGGAGGACACAGCGGGGATCGTGGACAAGGTAAGCGACGCACAGTGTAATCCCGAGTGTGGCTCGGGGTTACCTCTTTTGGTACTGAAAATTACCCCCAAGCCACACTCGGGATTACTGCCAGGAAGGTTAATAAATAAAAATAAATATTTTTTTTTTTAAAGTTTATAGAAAATATAAATAAAAATAAAATATAAAAAAAAATGGAAAAAAATACAATGAAAACATTTTCGGTTTCGGCCTGACAATTTTATTTATTTCGGTTTTGTTTCGGTTTTTAAATTTATATTTCGGTGCACCTCTACTTTATACCCTTACTTTCTGTTTCTTTGAAGTGAGAGAGCATCTGCATCACATGCAGAAATAAAAATCTGTTAACCTTCTACTCTATTCTGTCTGTGCTGCTGTTGCAGAGTAGGAATGAGAGAGTCTGCCCAGGTTAGATTCAAAAAGAGTCTGGTTAATCCTCTTTGAAATTCGTCGAATACGAACTTTGTGGCGCATCTCACTAAAGTGTATGGGAGTGTAAAAGTGATTATGTGTGAACTCCATTTTGTATAAGTGATTACATGTGAACATGTGAAAAATTGGCCAGCCGTAGGACAATGTTAAATAGCAAGACTAGGCCCAAATTTAGTAGAGACAAAGAGCACAAGCTAAGGGGTTTACTACAAAAATTACGAGAATGCATATGACGCAGTAGTGGAAAATTGGCCAGCAGTACGACAATGTTAAAAAGCAAGGCTAGGTCCACTACTACTGACAAACAGCACAAGTGTAAAATGTCTGATGTCCAAAGTACTCTCTAAATGAATCACTAAACTTTTGTCCATATTATTATTATGAGATAAACAACCCAATACTAACAATCCTAGTCAGTAGGCTAATTCAATGTATCACCATGGCACCCCAAATACATATGGAGCCCAACAGAAAAAAACCCATCTGATTTAATTCAGTTTGAAAATCTATTTTTTTTCAGGTAGTTTTAGCAGCAGCACACTTTTTTTCATCAAGAGGTAGTAGGCCTGCTTTGATTGGCAGATAAATTGGCCATCATTAATAGAGTGATTACTTTTATATAAAAACAGCACTTCAGTAAGAGAAGACAAAATTATACCGTTTGACAAAAGATCGCCAGATTTTTCTCGAATTATTACGAATTGTGTTATTTACTCCTGTTATTTACTATTAACGGATCACTAAGGTTCACTAAGATTTCCAAACATTTCTTAATGTAACCCTGTTATCATTTTAAGATGGTATTGCATTTAATAAACTTAATGAACAATCCAGAAAAAGAAAAGATGATTTATTGGTACATGTAAGAACAAGTCTTAGTCAAACAATGTCTGTATAATCAAACAAAAGTCAAGTACTTTATTTGCCAGCAGATTAATTACAATGACCGCAGAGCTCTAGAATCTATTTATCGAGTTAATAAGAGTACATTTGTTTTATATAAAAGACATCACAATGGTCAGTTCTTGTCAGAGTATAGATTTGAAAATGAGAAGCTGATTGGTTGCAGTGCAAATCTGCTCCAGATTTTCTCTGCTCCAGTTTTGATAAATTTCCCCCATTGTGTTTTCCATAAATCACTGCAGCAAAGAGATATGAACGAGTCTGACTGATTTGTATGACCATTCCTTTCCTTCTAAGAACTGATCACATCCTTCACTTCATCTATTACCTGATCTGACTGCAACTCATGGAAAAACTGAATTGGTTGCTGCGGGTTATGGCACTTTAGTCTTTAGCATTGTGTTTTGCATGAGAGCCTTCTAGTGTCTCCTCTACTGGAATAACATATATAAAAGTTTCAGTTCACTTTTGCAGGATATGCTGCTTGGAAGCTTAATTTAACAGCTTGCGGTAACCCATGACAACCTGGCATTAGCTTTCATTAGGAGCTGATGAAAGTTTATTCTAATTGCTTGCCAAGGGTAACACATCCTAGTCCTTTTTGCATTATATCACTAAACCCACATCATATATTTGTAATAAATATCTAAACTATAAACTGGCTCTTTCCAATCAAACATTTTTCTTTTGGAATCTGTACTACTAAATTAAAGGATTTTTGTTTCTTTGATGTGAAACAAGTAAAGATGTTGTGTACTGAATATCAGGGATCTGTGCATCGCACATATGCATATTTGTTGACATACAGTGCAGTACAGCAAGCGATATTGTCTTTACAAACTGTGAAAGTGGAAAAAACCCCACAATAAATGTTTTATTTGATAGATATATTATTATCTGTGTCAAGGAGACCAAAACATTTGCAAAGTTAAAGTATTTCACGCTTTATAGGATTTATTGGATAGTTCACCATATTATGGTTTTTGTTCTGTATCATATATCAAATATACGGTATGTCTGCAGTGTCGATAGATAGATAGATAGATAGATAGATAGATAGATAGATAGATAGATAGATAGATAGATAGATTTAGTAAGTTATACATACATATTTTAATGACTTGCTATGTTTATAATTGTAACAGTTCAATCAGTTGTATTTGTGCTAATTAGCTACCACTAAAGAAAACTGCAGGTGTTAAAATATGGAGTAGTTGGGTTTACAAAAAAAAGCTGAGACTGCAAGTTGTCTAAACTATATTATACCAATAGCCAGCTGTAATACATTTCATACCAGAACCTTTTTTCTTTTTTTCTCCTCACAGTGACTCTTTCACACAAAAAAAGTATAGGGGCTGCCATTGCTGGCCCTCTTGACAATAACAGTTGCCATGCTGTGTTTAACATCCAGAATTTTGAGCCACATACTAACATTGTGCCAAAACTAAGATTGTGTAAAAGCGCATCAAAAAAGTGTTTTTATCTCTATACTACTTCCTAGTCAGAGACTTAAAAAGAATTGAAGCCAAAGTATCAGATTGACAGCCAAGGAACTAATATTCTCAAAGGAGAGGACAGCCATGACAGCCCTCATATATTTTATTTTTAAATAAAGTAGGGATGCACTGATACCAGTGCAGATACTTGGCATTTTCATGAGAACTACCAGGGTTGCAGTGGTTGCAGCTGGGACCTGGCTCTGGCACTCCACCACTGTCCTGAAATCATTAGTCTGTATTGTTTTAGAAAAACTGTCACATGACAATAAACAAAAATGTATCAGTACGCGTACTTGTAAGTACTTGGACAAGTATCAGTACTTGTACTTGCAAAACTGGTATCTGTGCATCCCTTTATTTATATTTATAAAAACAAAATCATACATTAAAACAGAGATGTACAAATCCCAGGAGCTCCGTGTGCTCCTTACAAATGACAGCTCCTAACTTTTTCATTTTTCTCTAGTCTAGTCTTGGAGCTGGAAAAGTATCTGTTCTTGTACTTGTACCCAGTACGGTACTTGGTATCGGTGCATCCTTAAAATAAAGCCACACTGAGCATTATAAGCCGCTGTACCCTAGACACTAGTAGACCAAATGCAATGCTGCCATTGGCTCATTAATGTTTAATGGTTAAACAGAGATGTAAACTAAGAGAAGGAACTCTTGATTTTTTTCATATAACTGTCACTAGATAATTATGATTTGTAACTTTGAAATCTGATTAAAGGGATCACAGCCACACTGCATCTCCTCCGGAAAAGACCTTTTGCAGATAGTCTGCTTTGCAAAGAAACGAGGCCATCAAATGATAACCTTCTGTTTTTACCTCTTCTTTTTGCCTGTGCCTCATTTTTCATATTTTCTTCTATCTCATTCTTGGGAATTTTAGGAACCCTTTTTATACTTGGAGGCAAAATTCTGGCTTTTGTGTAGTAGGATGAACTCAGCTGTATTTCCAGTATTGCAGTCAGTCTTTTTTTGTCTTCTCTCCAGGTATAGTCAGGGAAACTTGCCTGGATTTCTTCCTTCTTTGAAATGGTGCTGAGCTTTGTGGTTCTTTGCAGTGCTGGTAGGCAGTTTGTGGATTTTTGAGCATTGCTGCTGGAAGAATTTTCTCTGTTACTGTAGAATTTCACTCTCTTTTCCCAAAGGATTGCCGGCAATGTTTTATAAGGCAGCAAACACTGTGTCCTGTTGACTTTGGCTGTAGAACTTTTATTGTTAAGGCTATTCTTTGTATAGTCACGGGTATTTGGTTTATGTTGTCGTTGTGAAATCTTGAAATTGCTATTTTTTCCAGATTCTTCTGTGTTCAAACAATACTTCTTTGAAACTTCTTTTACCATTGTTGTAATGTTAGTGTTTCCACAGTGGGCTGCATACCACAGTGCTGTATGATGCAACTTATCAGTGTGATCCAGATCATAGTCCAGTGCATCAAGGAAAAGCTTGACAAGGTATTGTCTCCCATACATGATAGCATACATCAGTGCGTTTCGACCCACCTTGTCACACAATCCTACTTTTGCTCCATAAGTAAGAAGCAACCTAGCTGATCCTAAAGCCCACTTCTCTCCATCATGAAGACAGCAGTTTATCAACGCAGTACGGACTTCCTTGTCTTGGATGTTGATGTCAGTGCCAGACTCCACAAGATTTCTTAGAAGGTTGAAATCTCCTTTTGCTAATGCCATGTTGACATCCAGTAAGGGTGGCATCTTTAACCAAGACGGACTGAGCACAAATAATATATATTATGGATGTGACAAAAGCCTGCTCAGCTGTTAATTCATCTCTGTAACAGAGTCACATTGTTAAATGGTTACTGATGTTGCCTCTTCTGTGTGTCACCGGGAAAGCTGCAATATCTCCTGTGTAATTAATACAGTAGGGTGGGGTTTGTTGACAGGAAATCTTTGACTTGTATTGAACATTCCGTTATGCTTGGTAGTTAACAATACACATTTAGCTTTTATTAATGCCTGCTGTACAAACCAATATTTAGAATGCTAAAGAAAATTCTTAATAAAAATATGCCTCTCTATATGCTAATAAGGGAAACAAAGATAGCAATCGTAATTCATTCAATAGCTACGGGATGTACAGAAACCCACAGGCACTAATTGTCAACCATCTTTCACTGAACTGACTTCACTGAACTATAATGTGATTTGTTTTTATGGTTATTGCACACAGCAAAACAAAGAAAAAAAAGAACAAATCAAATAAACTAAAAGCTATAGCTGATAGCTGACTTCCTAATTTACAGGCTAATACCATTCTCTTGGTGATGTACCACTTCACTGCTGCCCAAGAGTAGCCTAGAAGTGTCTCTACTAGTTCACAGTAAAGAATAGTAAAGAATAGGGATATTGTAGACCTGTTTATTACCGGGGCTGTGGATGGTTATGCATATTCTGACTCTGAGAAAGTCAACATTTACATAGGCCAGGCCTCAAAATTTCCACTCGCCCCCTCGCAATTGGCGAGTGAAAATTGCGGGGGGGCGAGTGGAATCTCATCGAGGAGCGCCGCCGGCGGGACCAGAGATGGGACACTACCACCGCGGCAATTGCTCGCTTCTGTTCTCTCTTCTCATAGGCCCTTCGGGAGGGTTCTTGGCAGTGCTGGAAGGGCAAATAGTTGAGAAAACTGTGTGAGTTGATACCCTATGCTGTCAGCTTTCTGGTACAACATTTCATATCATGGTTCATTTAATATCATGTTCACTTTAAAGTAATATCATGTTCACTTTAAACTACTGCAGGTTTAAAGTGCTGGCAGCTAGGGCAGCAAAAGCTAGCAGTTATAGCTGAATACTGGAGTTGTATTGAAAGGCAAACTTTCGGTATATCCTTATAGTGCCAATGCATGCCAGCCCCCTTCTGCCACCTTTGAATCCCTATTGGCCAGTGAGAGATCCATTATAGTAATGGGTCATTAGGAACATGTGGGCATAGGAGATAGCGTTGACACTACCCGGAAGCTTTGACAGGTAAGTTTGCAGGTTTCTCTAGGTTCCTGAACTTATACCTGTTTCTTTTATTTTTCTTGCACATGACAGGGTTTTTTTTTCAAAGTGAATTATTCCCTCATTCACTGAGCTAAGTGAAAAATTCCTTTGCAACGTAGAAATTCCCTTGCAAAGTGAACAGCCCATTTGCCTTTACTAAATTAACCCCTTTAAGTTCATGCAAAGAAATGTGTAAGTGTAATGCTTACAGGTATGTATAAGCTCTCATATAGATCACATTCTTCCCCCTGGATAGCACTTTTGTTCAGCCATTATTCCAAGTCCGCATCTACTTCCTTGACTGAGATGCCAGCTCAGAGATGACACATTGATGTAAAGCCTGGTTACTGTGCAATTCCCATCTGTGTTAAAAGTCATACTGCCGTATATTGTGACATTTCAGGAATTTGTTTGTGTGTTAGTAAAAGTTAGAAGGCTGCACACCTCCAAGGCTCCACATAGCAGTGTCTGCCAGCAAAGTGGACTTCAAACGTTCATGCTTTCAATTCAATTTCAAAATTCCATAATATTTGTGTAATCAAATTCTGTAGAGAGAGTATAATACAGCGTCTAGCCTTGGAAAGATAGTTCCGTTACACATTGACATTTCAGGTCACAAACAACCTTTCTCAAGCAGGAGTTATCCTCAAAATTCACAGTAGACATGTAAGCTTCATAAAAATTCGGTTTGGTTTGGATATTTCGGGATTCGGATCCGAAATTCAATTCGGTTCGGGTTTCAGATTTGGCCGAAATCCGAATTTTTCGTTAGTTTCAGATGAGTTTACAAATATTTGTTGCGAATAACACAGGAAACCATATAGAGATATTAATACTAAAGCTAAATCTCCTAAACCCGAATGGCATTCGGGATTCCAATTTCTGAATTGCATGCGGGAGCTCCCGAAATGTCATTCGGGTCTGGGAGCCACCCGAATGCAATTCTAGAATTCGGATCCTGAAAGCTGTTCGGGTCTAGGAGCCTCAGCTTTAGTATTGTATACAGTATACTGTATATGGCTTCCATGTTGCCATAATGAAAATTCGCATTCAGACCCATTCGGATGCATTAAACCGAAAAACATATCAGAGTGGCCAGAAAAGTAACATGTCCAATTCAGTTTCGTTTTTAAACAAAATTTGAACGGGATCTGAAATTCAGATACGGAAAATCGGATTCGGACACATTGGGATTCGGAAAATTCGGATGTGTCAGAATGTCAGAATTTCGGAAAATTCGTATGAATTTTTATTCAGAACGAAACGAATTGCACATGTCTAATTCACAGCAGAAGCACTGCAGTTCTTATCTCTCAAGTGATATCAGCATATGGGTTACATTGTCTTAAACCTTGCTCTTTGCCATATTTATTAAAGGCATGCTTATTCATGATTCAAAGAAAAGCGGCTTATTTAAAAGACACCTGCTCATATTTGCATTATTCATCTAGTTGATAAGCATAGCTACTGTATCAGTCATACCTCATCAACAAAATGTAATTATTAAACCTCCAATTCTACTGATTGATTGTTTTATGCAAATGTGTAATTTCAGTGGTACCGGTATATCTTTATTATATACCGTATTTTGCCCTCCATAAGGCGCACTGGTGCATAAGACACAGGCCAGTTTCTGTCACAGTTTCTGAGAGAATGACTCGATCGCCACCGCTCGGTTTTAATACAAGTGATCTGAATAGATCACTTGTATTAAAGGAGCAGCAGCTGCCATTGTACGTTTAGCTCTGCTTTAGCAGCGCTAAATGTACAAAAAACTAGGGATTCGCTCCATAAGACTCACACACATTTCCCCCCGCCTTTTTTTTTGGGGGGGGGGGGAGTGTCCGTCCTATGGAGCGAAAAATACGGTATATGTTTTTTCAGTCATACTGGTATATTTGCTATGTATCCATGAGATATATTTACAGTTCCAAATACTGCATATAAAATAATTTTGCAACAACATTAAAATGTAATTCAATAATAGCGATTTATTGAATATTCAACATATCATAAAGAAGGTGTGTGGTAATAACTGTCAGTCTTAGGTAGAAATGTCTTACTAAACACACAAGGTTAATTCTACATTTACAGACTTCATTGATCCAAAACCTAACAAGTGTGGAAAATTCAGTATATTTCCTTATCCTATAAACACAAGAAGAAATATTTTTTGTCTACAAATGGTTTAAAAAATCATTAGAAGCAGAAACTTAAAGTAGTGGAGTGTAGTATTGATGTTCCTCTTGCTCGGGAGTGGATGTCACTTGCAAAGGGAAGCTGAGAACCTCAGGTGGACCAAGTTGCTCAGGTTCCACCACGGCCACCTTCTCTTTACCTGGATTTTAAAAAAAATGGTGAAAATGAGAAAAGAAGGTATATCCATGAAAATGGATGACAAAAAGAAAATGCCAGGACAGAGTTGACTATTCCTTTTATTTAACTAGCTTTTGCATAGCAATACCAAATCCTCACTCAGGTATTTTTGAGGCAAGGCCAATACCTGTGTATCCTTTGGTATGCATGCATTAAGTGAACTGCATGAAAGTACAGATTATTAGTCTTTGTTCTGATTCTACTCTTTTGTTTTATCACACATACAGTATATCCCACCGGCCTACCCTCAGACATCCTATACCAGAAACATTTAGTTTAACCCTTTTATTGCCACCAACGTAAGGCTTACGGTTGAACACAACTGTTTCCAGCTGGCTACGTCAGTATGCCATACCTTTGGTGACTTTTACTGTTCTGCTATAAGCGTATGGTTGCTTTAGCGACCATCAACTTATACCAGAACAGTTTCTCTGACAGTCCCCTGTAAAGTAATAGCTGCCCCGCCTGCCTGGAATCTATTTCTCCTTGGTTCCCTGCTGCTCTCACCCCTGCTTGTATGAGCTGAGGCAGCGGGGATCCAAAGAGAAACGGCCTGTGCGAAGTGCGGAGAAAAGCGATGAGAAAAACGGAGCCACGGCCAGCGGCTGTTATCTTTGCGTGGCCGAGCGAGTCAGGATGGCAGAGCGGGAGGATTGGTAAATATATGTGATATTTGTTTGTGTTTGTAAACAACTGGGGACACATAGTACTACGTGTCCCCAGTTATGAATGAACAGGAAGTGCTTTACATCACTTCCTGTTCATTCATGAGTTTCTGAATGGGTAGTAGCTCACTACAGAGGCTTCTATCCATCTGTAATTGGATGATAGTTAATATTTTACTATCTCTAGCTTCTGAATGAATGGGAAGCCTCTGTACTGAGTGCTTTTCATTCATTTAGTGCTGAGGCTGCAGAAAAAGAGATTGAGGACTCTGTGTCCTCAATTTCTTTTTCTATTTCAAAAAGGAAATGTCAGGGGTCTGCTTAGACCTCTGATGCTTCCTAGAAGCGCCCCCCACCCAGTAACAAAGAAAATTAAAATATTGAAAAAATTAAAATAAAAAAAGTAATGAAAAAATAAATGAATAATAGAAAAAATAAATAAAATAAAACACAAACCCCCCTCACATACAGATATAACATACACTTGCACCATATTGTGGTGTACGCCGTGCACACGCGCTGAGGTGTGTTGTTAGAACGCATCGCAGTGCCTAATTTTTTTTATTTTTTCAAAAACGACTTGGTGTTTTTGTTTTTTTTAGAAAAAAGGCTGATGTGCTGATTGAAACTACTTGCTGTTTTCCTCATTCAGGAAGATGCAGACTGCATCTTGTACAGTAATCCTATGCTGGGTAATAAATAATTCCTGTTCTGGTCATTAAATGCTGAAGCTTTTATCGAAGTTCTCTAAACCAGCAGAGGTGGGGAGCTTTAGGATGGATGTACTTCAGCTTTCCTAGGAGTGGAAATTATAGGTAAAATAACATACAAACAACAAAACTGAATTTCCTTTGGTCAGAAGGCACTGGAATAAGTATCATAATTATTCTCTCTTACTACATTTATATCAGTGAATTAGAACCTTCTTCTTTATTATAATTTCCTTATGTTATTCCAACTTAGCATAGATATACAGATAATGTCTTTCAAAAATTCTGGGGAGAATTCAGTAAAGCCTCAACATCACTTTATTGATGATATGGACCTTTAAAAGGTCTTGTGCTGAATTTAAAAAAAGCCCTGTCACCAGTTTTGGTAGCTATACTGACAATTACAACAGATTCAGGTAGTTCTTAATTTCTTAGTTCTTTAAGAATCTGTTACTATGGCTGTGACAGGTTCAAAAAGAATTACTGACAGTTTACAGATTGGAAAACTGCCAGTAACTAAGACCAACTCTCATCTGGCGTACAGAGAGACGCCAGTGCTCGGAGTGGGTTGTGTATGTAATGGAGGCTGTCTTTAATCTGACAGCGTCCTGTTGATTGATTGCTAGGACAAAAACTGCTGAGATCCTATTGAACAATTATGCATCCCAGCCCCATTCATCTGCAGGCTGGGAAATTACCTAGCTGCCAGCCGAATGTAAACAAAGTGGCAGCCTGTAAAATGATGTTAACCAGCATCCCCTCCCCTTTACATTTATCTGTCAGCCAGGAAATCTCCCATCCTGCAGCGGAATGGGGACAATCACTGGCTGCTAAGACACCTTCAGCTGCACAGCTGACAGCCTCTTGGCTACCAATGACATGGCTAAATGGGTGGGGCCTGATGGGGATGCTGAGGGACTAGTTTCCCATCAGGTCGACTCTGCTGCTGATTGACAGCAAGCAGTGGCCAGATTCCGTAGCCAATAGCAGGCTGGCTATTGGCTATAGAATCTGCCTGCTGTCAATCAGTAGCTGAGCAAACCTAATAGGAATTAGCACCTCAGCATCCCATCAGGCTCCACCCCCAATGTCAACCTCACTGGCTGTTACGGAAGCTGTCGGCTGTAGCCAACAGTGTCTCTAACAACCAGTGATGCTACAAGTGAGCGGGGCCTAAAAGGGATGCTCATCATCGTCATCAGGCTTTCCCCCACTGTCAGCATCACTGATTGTTAAGTGAGCTGTCGGCAGTTACCTAACAGCGCCCTTAACAAACAGTGATGCTTCAATTGGTGAGGAGCTGATGGATGGATTCCAAATAGCCAGCCTGCTTTTGACTATGGAATCCACCCACAGCCTGCTGTCACTCAGCAGCAGTGCAGACCTAATGGGGAACTAGTAACTCAGCATCCACATCAGGCTTCATCCACCCATTGTATAAGTCTTCAGCTGCTGCACCTGCTTGTGTCACGGGCGCAGTGACTGGACAGGGAGCTCACCAACGCTAAGCATGTCATTTTACCAGGCTCAGAATTCCTGAGCTGCACTGAGGACGACCTGAATGTGCCTCCGCACAAGGCAGTGCTTTGGCCAAATTCATGTAACTGTTTCCAACAGACCCATGATTCTAGAGCAAGCACTGACATTTGTCGTGTGGATGCACGACAGAGTTCTAGAGAGTGTCGTGGAGACTCTTTACCATTCCCCCTCAATAAGTTATATCTTAGAACTAGATTTATAGATTATTAAAGTTAACTGTAGCTCTCTACTATTCAGGTTGAGTAAGATGTGAAGTTTTAAACTCCACAACTTATTACCTGTTATTAAGATGGTGAGGTCTTGCTGAAAGTGTCCACCAGCCTCTTCATGTACAGCATATGTTTCACCTGCAGTTCCACCTTCAGTTTCTGTTATACCTGGATTTTCATGATGCTCTAGATGCTCTAGAGGTTCTTGCTCATGCTGGCTGAATTCTTGCTGGACATCATGGCCTATCCATAACTTATTTTCAGGCTCAAATTCATACTGCGATTCAGTGACCTGCTCGTGCTTGTGATCTGGATCATTCTTTGATTCAGGTTCATGCTGTGGTTCAGTGGCCTGCTCATCTTTGTGATCTGGTTCATTGTTTGGTTCAGGTTCAGGCTGTGGCTCTAGCTGTGGCTCAGGTTCTTGAACTTGCTTTCTTCTCCTGCTGCCAGCGCCCCTGGCTTGTCGAGGACGTTTACTTCTGGTCTGGTTTTGCTCACTAGAAAAACAATACTTATTAATTAGCTCTGGTGGGAGGGAGATGCTTAAACATGTAAGCATCAAAATCATAGCAATAAAAACACATTTCTGGGTTCTAAATGTCACAAAGCGGTGCTCTACCAGTAGTTTGTACTATAAAAATATACTGGTAAACATGAATCTTGGATTAAACCTTGTTTATAACAGAGCTTTCAATGTAGTCTAACTCTATAAAAAAAAAAATTCTAAAGATTCTGTAAAATTTTGGCAACTACAAGTACTGCTATCCATGGATTGGGGATTCACCTTTAACTAAGATTTGCATCTATGTGTTTTGCTACATGTTAATGCAGTGCACAGGAGGCATACCAATCTGTGTGGTACTTGGCTGTGCCATTCATTCAAAATGGCACCCCAATTCACAAGTACAGCACCATGAGTTGCATTAAAGATTTGCTTCAGGTCCAGTTTTTGCTGGGTTGTGGTAGATTGGCAGCTCATTCTAAATGAATGCCACTACTTGGCAAGAATATGTTGGGATACACAAATTAATAGACATTCCTAACTATTATTGGTAGGAAAGGCAGGTCATAAATGCACCCAACATTTATGCTGGGGAAAAGTTTTATCTCTAGTTAGGGTGACATTCCAGAAGGGCTAGAACTTCATAGTATTCGCCACTGGCTACTCTAAGGCAGGTCAGATAAGAATAAATGCATTACTTAATTCATGTTACATACTACATACATTTTCACTGCATACATGTCCTGAACATTCATTTTCCTGATACATGTTGATCACCCCAAAATTTACCCAAAAACCCACAGGTAAGTATCTTTCTCCCGGGACTCTTCTTTTTTTCTCTTCAAAAGCTCACGATCTCTCAAACGACGTGGGGAAATCACTGTGAAACAAAATGGTTTATATTAATGCAATGATTTTAATGTTAAAAATCCAGCTCAATTAAAAGGAGAAACAGCCTCTCCTCCAGGTCTGCTAGTTATATTTGAAGCAGTTTAGCTTGTACTGTAGAGATATTATAAATGTCCTTTTTTGTTACATGTAGGAGGGAAGCATCAGCAAGGTTTTTCTACAGAACAATGCTAGCATTAAGTATTATTTTTCTGCTGAAGCTACCCTAGTCCCCAGCAACTGCTTTTCAGCCACACCTAATAAGCAAAGGTTATATTATCCAAATGTTGTGTACATTAGGTTTAATGACTGAGGGTATGATTTACTAAAGATCTACCAGATAATGAACATTTTTTCACCTGAATACAGTTTGCTGTATGGAGAAATCACAAGCTAGCTGATTTGTAAAATCACCCCTTCAGTCTTTTATTAGGAATCACATATTATTGGTACTTAAAAGGATAGTGAGCACATATTTTGAACTATTACAATTATATTTATCCTTAAATAAAAGTGTTAAGTAACTTTTACATTTACAATGCTTGATCTACCATATTTCTAATAATGTATTCGATTTACAGATTTGTAGATTTTCTCTTTAGTGGCTGTGTGTATATCATACATGTGGAAGCATCACCATTGCTGAATGACTGTTGGAACCAAGAGTGTCCATTATTTTTACCCTAGTCTGATGTACTTGAGAATGAAAAAGTACAATACAACTACAGAGCTGCGGTATTAAGTCGGAAGCAGAGCCTGCATATGTAATGAGCAAATATAGCAATGCCCATGCACATCCTGTATATAATTACATGCTATTCAAAAAAAACAATAGTTGGTGTGTAATATACTAAAAGTCTAACAAGAGTAAGCATTACATAGTCTGACATTTTTTTTCTGCAAAACAGACGAGCTTTAGTAAATCACACTACGCATTACACTAATGGGCATATTTATAAAGCACGAATGGTGACTGTAATCAAACATTTAGTGGTGGTCAATCATTTGCTGTCTTTTTGGCACATGCACCAGGAAGATTCACCTGCAATAAGGAGATCGAACAATCTGATTATAAAATGCAGCCAGCTTTAGAACCGCTGTCAGACATATGCATTCCTATAGGCAAATTCCCTCAATTCCTTTGTGATCATTAAAACTGGGAGTGCATTTGCTCCTATCTACCTCCATATTTTGCTAAGTGATTATCATTATCTGTGCACTTGCTGTTTGTTTACATCAACTTGGATAATACTCTTACATAAGTATCATAAGTAACTGACCATCTTTTTATTCATATGAAGGATAGTATTTTTGGGAAATTTTGGGGGAAATTTGGAGGAATACAATTGTCCTCTATTAAACTGCATTGACCTCACAAAGGGCTTTGATCAATGTAATCATCATATATTTAAAATGATTCCCTAATTGGTTGTGCATCCTATGAATCAGCCCTTACCTTTTCCTAAGATTCACAGCTGTCAAAATATGCACATACTTCCTCATTTTCAACCCCTGTAAAAAAATGGCCACAAATTAAAAATGTAAAATAAAATAAAACATACTTGCTTTGGTCTTTCTTCTCACTATGTAGTTACTTTATACCCAATAAAGTGTATGTCCAGCCAACACTTTTTCTTAGTGTTGGAAGGAGTGGAGCAGGATTAGAAACCTTGTCAGATTTCACTGCTATCCATTGCTCCATTATAGTGATTTCCCTCTTTTCCAGCCCTGTTGACAATGTTTTACAAGACAGGAAATCAGGGGAGGTCTATGTCCCTATTGCAGATTTTCCCTCAATTCCTGTCTGGTAAAACCATTGGCAGCAGTGGTTTTGCCAGACAAGTAAATCTCTCTAGTGGAGCCCTAGACAGCTGTAAAAACCCAATGGGATTTGTAATCCTTCCCCATTCTATCCAAAACATGAAAAGCATTTTTGGCTTGACATACAGTTTGGGATGTATTTATAAACAATTCGTAGAGCCATTTGTCCTGCGAATCTCTGTGAATGTTCATTCTGTGTGACTATAGGAAATAAATACTTATACTGCTCCTCAGTTCCATCTAGTTGCCATAATGCGGTATTACATTATATTATATTTGGCCTGAAAGGCGAATAGACCAAGAATGTTGGGTTTTGCCTCTATGTGCACAGAACGAACATTCACAGATTTGCAGGGTGAATATGTGAAATGTTTTAAATAGACCCCTAAAATAATGTTTCTGCCAATTATAAGTAGGTGATATTGGAGAGTCACATCTTTACTCACATCTTGTTACTTCCTTGATCCATGTGATCTTTCTCTCCCTACGTTATCAATGTACCTATTAAGGCCATCTATTGATTACAAAGCACAATATTCAGAACTCAATCTAAATTGATTATCACTTTCTTAGCATATTGGTCAACTAAGTAATTGAAAGAAAGCTTTTTTTAAATAAAATGTAAATGTTTTATAATATATTCATTCTGAATTTAGTTTCCTATTTCTGGTCTTCTACAGCACATACAGTATGTGACTGCAGTGGAATCTTGGAAGGGATAATTGAACTTATTAGAAAATACTGATTGTACAATCAGGTTTTTAATATCCAGCATATTTTAATGCAATCATTAGGGTAATGTTTTGCTAGATTAACAATTTAACAGTTGCTTCAGGAAGCAGTAATATTGAGCTATAAATTTGCAAATATATGCTAAAAGCTGAAACCTGATATTTCTTATGACGGCCAGCTTTCCATATTTACCTGAATTCATTTTAGCTGCTTCATAAGATCAGTTAAGCTTGATGTGTATATCAATGTGCTACGAGACTAATATATACACATGGCTTTATATGCAGAAGTTGAAAGCATTGTGAAACATTGCATGGGCATTTTTTATTCTTGGATCTGCCCATAAACGTGAGCTGCCTCATCCTTGGCACTGAATTAAAATATCTTCTAAAAAATAAAATAACATTTTTCTGTGTCGGTTAATCTTGTGCTAGTGTGCAACTCTTAACTACTTCATTCCTTTCCATCCAGCTTTTACCATCAGTGCTTTTATCTTGGCACACTTTAGCAAGAAATCTTACAGTCTAGGCAAACCTACTCATATGAGTAACAAGTTGGTGTTTAGTGCTCATTTTAGAAAGAAGACCAGCAAGTATGATGTTTTGCTACTGTTATTTTACATTTTTTACTGGAATTGAAAATGAGGAATAAATCATAGTGCAAACTCGCTCACTGATTTGCCAAAAAAAACCACAACATTATTTAACATATAACACATTTATTTTACTTTCTAGATTAAATAAATGTATAAGCTATTCTAGAATAAATAAATGTATAAGCTCTTATAAACCAGACCACCAAATTAAGCAAAGCCCTTTTCGGATACTCACCTTATCATCTTCATATGTTTTCATGTTAATATTTTCACTTCCTTACACTTATTGGGCTTATTGGACAAGTACAGTTCTATATGGTCTATGTGGTTACCAATATTTTACCCACTGCTATACTGTTACTAATACCTGGAGGTCCTTTCACCTTCCCCTCCCTTCCAACTCAAAACACTTCTTTATCATTCTCTGTGTTAATGTTATTGCCAAGAGATTCTTGGGTAGGTGTAACATTTGTCTCTGTTACCATAATTTTACTATATGTACTTTAGTGCCTGAGAAACATACAATGATATTAAGTATGCAGGTATTTTTGACCAAAACCAACTGAAAAATATAGCAAATCTAGAATTTGTAACAGACATTAAAACCTGACCAGTAAAACAAATGCTATTATAAGAATATGTTTAAGTAATATATACATTAAAGCAACAGCAAGTATACATATTTTACAATCTCCAATGGGTCCCTGAAGAAGAACTCAGCTAAATAACATTGAATCTGCTTCATAGCCTAGGACCATAACCTTTTTTTTTGTTATATACAATATATTTGGGTTTCCTTAGCATACTGTTGTACTTTGTTTGACAAGATGTAAGATAACAACTTCAGACATTGTCATCTTGTGGCCAAATAGCTTTGGCTGTTACATTACAAATACTTTTATGAAAGCTAAGTTGTCCCTGTGTTTAATGGCCCTGTAATTTACTACCACGGAATAAACACTTTGCATTGCTTCTACAGGCTAATTGCCTAATTACAAATCTAGGAAGTTGCAGTATAATATCATGTCCCCTTAATGACAACAAGAAAGTTGCATTTATATGATTAAAGGATACAACTCTGGACCTAATACCTCAGATCAGGGGTGTCAAACTCAATTTAATCGTGGACCGCATCAACATTATGGTTGCCCTCAAAGGGCCTGTAAACAGGGGCGTATCTGCCGCTAGGCAAACAAGGCGTTTGCCTCAGGCGGCAGATTCAAAGGGAGCAGCAAAAATGCCGGGGTCTCAATGTACCGGTCCGCGGGCCACTTGCGGCCCTTACGGATCAAAAGAACTTTGATCGATCAAAATAATGTTGGTCGATCAAAATAATTAACGATTAATCGAGGGATTAATCGTTCATTTCCGCTGACCTAATATATGTATTGCTAAAGTGTGGGGTATTTTCTCATGTGTATGGGGGGGTATTATTTGATATGTACAGGGGGTGTATTTTTTTTACCGGGGGGGTAGAAGTGTATTAGGCTACAACATTCACACCTTTATTTCTTTATTTTAGGTGCAATTAGGGATTTCTGCGTCAAAAACTTGCGTTTTCCTGCAGCAGAAATTTGGCATTTAGTAAAACGCAAGTTTCTGATGCAGGAATACATTTTATTTTATAGTATGAAATTTGGCAAGCGGCCCCATGAGAGAAGAAGATTTGTTGAGTGGGGGCAGAGACACCAACGAAGGAGGCGGGAGGCATCGCCGGAGCTCCAGTTGGGCAGCGAAGATGACAAGGAGGCCATGTTGGACACCGAGGATTAGGAGGCCGTCCAGTCGGGCGCGGAGGACAAGGAGGCCGTGTACCAAAGAGGTCAGGCC